CACTCTGCAGCCCCCAAATTAGTTACCCTCACAGCCCATTTTAATAAGGGTTCTTCAGGAAGCTGATCACACCCATCTACTAAATGGAGGACAACTTCACACTGCCGCCCACCCCCCTAACCCGTGCCCACCCAGTTTCAGTAATTTCTTGATTTTCCCTCCCCCCATGTTGACTGCCTACTTGGTGACCAGAGACCTTCAAAGTACTTTCTGTTGTCCCTGCATAATTTTTCCCTTAGGGAGGTGGCTTTGAGGCCAGTGGCCTAAGGTCATACTGACCCACATCAGAGCGAGGCCCAGCACCAAGGGCTGCCCCTGCACTTCCTTTCATTTTGGCTATTATGGACAACAACCAAATGATTGTATATTTAGTATGTTTCTTGTTATTTTGCATTTCCTTGTGTATCCAATAAGTAACCTTCTCAGGAGTCAGGTCTACCTCCATCTAAAAAGTAATAACAAAAAATCAGCAGTCTTGTCTTAAAATCAAACAACTCTTTGGATGTTCTACATAAAACTGATCTTAGGCAATCACTATAATTTGAGATGGTATAAACTCTGTAGTATTCTGATGGTTTATGATTGAGTCCTATGAATAATTAATTCCATTAGTATTCTGATCATTGCAATTTAAGTTAAGAAGAATTAACTTCCATTGCTGACCAGTTATGAAACTCAGGCACATTATTTGGGGACTTTTTGTATTCTTGTTGTTTTTATTTAATTTTGTTATAGCCAGCTAGGATCAAACCAAAGTTTCTTTGCTATTTGCTCTCAAGTGTCACACAGCCATAGTGACTGAGGCTTTAATTTAGTCATTTTTCACACACACTTTCAAACTTTTATTGCACTAGTAGAAACTTCATAGGTCAACAAATTCCTAAAATGTAAAACATTCTTGTACCCTTCTAATTCTTTGACATTTTTATGTTTGTGTATGATTTTTCTGTATTTAATACCTAACATAATTTTCTAGATATGGACATAAGAGACATACTAGTAGTACTATTGTATTCCATTGAATCGATATGCCATATTTACTTAAATTAGTCCCCAATTTATGGAGCATGTAACATAAATTTTTATCTTTATAAATGATGATATTATAAATATCTGAGTAAATTTTTCCTTTTAAACATCATTTTGTATTATTTCCTTGAAATATGATCCCCCAAATGAGAAGTAGAACACTGGGTTTGAGGCCACCACCAGCTTGTTTTCCAGAGAAATCAACTTAAAATGTCACCACATCAATGTTATGGGCAGTGTGGGCTGACGGTCGGAACAGTGAGTGAGATCAGGGTCAGGAGGCTGGCTCTGAAGCAGGCTATGCCTGTCCGAGCTACATACTTGCACACAGGTCCCTTTGGTGAGCGACCTTCTGAAACTTGCGTCCCATGAGAAAAGGAAGTGGTGCACGTGTCCTGCCTTCCTTATTATGCAGATCTGATGAACCGATGTCTGTGAACACACTTTATAAAACTAAAAAGCCCAATATAAATATGGTCATTGGAATTATTCCCTTTATCCCAAAGCTCTATCAACATTGGATTTTATCATTTTTACATGTTAAAATTTTGGTAAACGCAAGTACTGTGGGTCTTGAACAAAATGCATTAACCGTAGAACGTTCGTTTGCATAATATTGGAGGAATGTGGCCCTCGGTGCATACATGATCAGGTGGACACGATGGTTCCTGGGGACCTTTCGTGGAGCTTGATGTTACCTGAACGCGATGATAGCCTGAATGCGTGTTTTGTGCTCACGTTTTTCTCGCACTGTGTTTCCAGGGGTACCAGGATGTTCGGGACCGGATGATCCACCGGTCCACTAGCCAGGGCTCCATCAACTCCCCCGTGTACAGCCGCCACAGCTACACCCCGACCACATCTCGTTCTCCCCAGCATTTTCACAGACCTGGTAAGGGCAGCTGTTCCCGGGATTCACTGTCTGACAATCTGTGTTTCGGTGTGATTATTTCCCCATCACTGATAGCTGGCTGTCAGATACATACACACTCCTCTCCCAGAAAAAAAAGAAAAAGAAAACTCATATCCAACTATCGTTTGTATTATATCTTTTCTTGAAATGAGTCATGTTATGGTTATATTCATTATGATTTATGAAATAATTACATTTTTACAGTCAATGACTGGAAGCAAGAGAGTTTGGGTTTGTTTTTTTTTTTAAACTTGAAGAGAACCTCATTACTTTTAGACTTAAAATGAAGATCTCTAAAAGAAAGTGTTTTGTTGTGCCTTTTAGGCATATCAGCATCATCTAAAATCCAGTATTAGCCATTTATCGATGGGTTTATTTTGTTTCCCTTATCCAGGCACATGGTATTACCAAGCATGCTGGGTTAAGCACCTTCTTAGGAGAAAGTATTGTATACAAGCCCAGGGTTGTAGATATCTTTTAAGATCTATTCCAACCTTAAAATTCTGAATCAGACATGGAAAACATAAAAACATTTGAGATGTATTATGATAAGAGAATATGATATAGCAGTGGGTCTCAGGTGCCTTTTACCTGTGCAGAATTTAGTCCCTATCCCTATATCCCCAGCACAGACCCAGAATTCTCTGAGAAATGGATTCACAAAGGAAGATTTGGGCCTTTTAAACAAACTCAGTGGTGACGACGTACATCTGTGCAAACTTCATTTTAAGCTTCTTGCTTCTGCTGAGGCTGATGTAACAATTCCACTCATATGCTAACTTATTTCATAAAACAAAACCGAAGGAAATGAACAGAATGTAAAAAGGCTGCAATCTTCCCTTTAAAGCCATAGATTTCATGTTTATAGAGGATTGAATTTTTATTATTTAATCCTTCAATAATGTATAGTTTTCTCTAGGTTTATAAATATTTACTCAATATTTGTTGTTACATTAATTTTAATTTTAAAGTTAGAATTTTAGAGAAATGAATTCCTTTCTTTTTTCCTGTACAACATATATTCATTTTTCATGCATGCCCTGGGCCTGGGTCTGTATTTAAGCCCTTGTCTATCTGGGTGACAAGAAACCCTTTATGCTGCCACCACTGTGTATGGGCATATGCTGAGATCACTGAGACCCCAACCGTGACCCGTCAGAATGACATGGGAGGTTGCAGAGGAAAATATTCCAGAGACTTCTGAATAGTGAGAGAGCGGTCGGTCCAGCGACATCGTTTTCCTGAAAGGTCACGTCCTTATTGAGCACTAGGAAGTTCTCATCTGTCCCATCCACAGTTCTGATGTCATTAGCCTTTAGAACATTCCCCATTCTAAGCATTCCTTCTGCTGTCCCTTCACAATATATTACAGATATGCATGATGTCAATTATTAAGGTTCATAAGTTGTCCACTCCAGACATGATGCTGCAAGGCCCCGAGGTCTCGGATCAGTTTGAATGGTCCGTTCTTCTTTTGAGGTAACTAAGTTCCTAGGTCCCTAGTGTGGCCACTATACAATTCTCAGGATTGAAGTAGCTCTTTGACATCCAGGGAACACAAATAGATTGTTTGTTTGTTCTTTCTCCACAAGCAAAATAAAATTAAACTTCCAGTGGAGAAGTTTGCAGCTTAAAAAAAAGAATCTGACCCTTACATATAAATACTCCTTTTGAAGGTTCTTGAAATTATTGTCATTTTTTTTCATATGCTCTTCAGAGGGTTCTGTTTTGTCAGGTGCTTTTTAAAACAGCCATTTTTGAGTCTAAATGATGTGCCTGGTACAGGCTCAACGGTAGCTGGTGTCACCCTAACAGAGAGTGTCTTGGTGGCCATCGTCTTCACCAAAGCCATTTTTTCTCAGAGAGGGACTCTGCACTGACCTAAACCTATTTATTTGCAAATTCTCCCCACTTTGCCTCACCCTTAGCAGGTGCATTCTTAACCCTTTTTCCTTCCTCCTTTTTCAGACTCCTGATTAACAACCTTTATTTTCCCCCTCGGAACAATGATGTGGTCCCTGCTCCTGTGTTAATTTCTGTTCTTCTCTTCTGTTTCCATCTTGTCCTGCCCCTGACTCCTTGCTGCACAGAGCTGCTGTCTCCTGGTGTGCAGAGGTTGTCCTACCTGCGCACCAGCAGCCTCAGCTCCACCCACAGCGACTCCCGCCCCAACTCCCCCTTCCGACACCACTTCATTCCCCATATCAAAGGTAAGGAGGCAGGCTTCTTCAGGCAGCACCCTGCATAGCGGAGATTTATTAGCACCCTGGGAAGGCTAATAAGGTGTATCTCCAAGAGTCAGCTCCGAGCTTTCGACCTCTCAGCATGCCTGCGTGTGTCATGACTACACCCAACAGTGTCTTAGAACTGGCATAGCATCTCTCCTTAGGGGAAATATGTCATTTCTAAGGGCTCTAGATGAAGAAACAGGAAGTATGTTTAAGACCATAAGATTTATTATCTACTCCTTAGGGGAAAAAACCATATATTATTATTTTGTTTTTCTACGTGTCAAAAGCAAAATATAATATATAGTTGGAGCATTTGCCTGGTTTTAATATGCAGTATGGCTCAGCAAAACCCAACAGTATTTAGCAACAGATATATATCCCAAAGCTAACTTAACCACTTAACGATATTAAGATGTTTGGACAGTATAAAAAGATCTATGGCAATGGAACTTAAATTTCTGTTTGAGCCAACTGGGAACAATCTTTTGACTTGTCCTCATTTCTACATGATGGAGAAGAGAGGCTTTGCCATCTGTTTTCTGTCCCTGCCCCACATTGCTGGCCATCCTCGATGGCATTTCCATTGTTTTCTTCATCGTCCATTATGCTTCTGCAGCCGTCCTCAGTCGGAGCTCCTGTTCCCCTCCATGCGTTGGGGGACCCAAGAGCCCCAAAGGGGTTGTTAGGAAGGGGCCATAATTTAAAGTAAGTGTGAGCTCCCTGAAAGATGCTAACTTTTACCAAATTAATCAATGGAAGTAGCTGAAGGAGGGAGGAGCAGGCAAGCCCAGATGTCATCCTGCATCCTCTAACAGCCCTAAAGGGTCGCGCTAACCCTGCATTCCAGGTGCTCATGCCGCTAACGTTTATCGCGTAGTTTAAACGCTGTTGTAGTGCGCTCCCACTTGCAGTCCACTCGAGCTGTTTTCTTTGTGCTCACTTGGGTTTTTGAGGCAACTGAGTCCTAAAATATAGAGGCACCATACTTATCTGCATGTAGTAATTTTAGATGTGCTATTTTGGCATTTTCTGTGCCATGGAAATAATGCTGCTGATGCGCTGATTGAAGACACATAATCATTTGCCATTAGCAAAAGGATCAGTCTTTTTCTGGTAGTTGCAGTACTTTCGAAAACTCTTGACAGATTATTTTAAATGATTATTGCTAATTAGTATTTTGGAGGAAAAACTTCTTTATCTAGATGTGAAGATCATACTTTAGAGAGTGTCTATAAAACCATAAGGAATTGTTGAAAAAACTTCAGATGTATTTTAAAGAGACTTTAATATAGAAGCCCTTGACCAAATTAAGATGTTTTTTGTTGTTCGTTTGTTTCTAATATGCAAGAGAAAATATATTTTTAATTCATTAAAATGTAAACTGCCTTGTTTGGTTACTATATGTTTCATCGTTCGGAAGAGATATTTTTTGTAGAAAGAAAAATGTCATGTACTGTGAAGTCATGCAGTTTGTATAAGTAACATATCACGAAATAATAAGACTTACCTTATGTCTAAGAGCAAGCAGTCTTATGAGGAGATGGGACACCCGTATGGACACTGAGTCCTGGGTTTGAGTATTATCTCTGTCATTGGCTAGCCTTGGGACCTTGGATTGTTGACAACTTTTTGAGTGCCACTTACCTCATCTGTAAAACCTCTCATAGGTCATTAGGGCGTGGATGGTACAGTGCGCTGATGTGTAGTGAGCTCTGAGCTCACGTCCACCTGCGGTCCCCCCGGCACGGTGCTCTTAAAGCATGTCCACTGCATCCTTCCATTTGCTCTTCATGGCGTCCTTGTGACACAGGCCCAGGGCAGAAATGAGGGAGCTGGGGCCCAGTTCAGCGACCCGGCCAAGAGCTCACGACCAAGAAGTGGCAGCACCTGGACCAGACCCTGGGCCTTCTTGTCCCTCATTCAAATTAAGGGTGCACATTTCAGTATAAATGTACATGAGGCATAATCTGTAAAGCAAACTTTTATTTTCCATCTCTTTTTAACTAGAAAATTGCATTCTTATTGAGGATAAGAACAAACAGCTACTTCAGTCATTTAAATTACAAAATTAATAAATTTTTACTTTTCAATATAAGTATGGAAATTACAGTACCTCTGTGTGCCTAAATGGTGCTTTATTAAAAAGGTAGATATAGATTCTTTTCTGTGTCCGGTCTAAATTCGAATTTTTTGACACAGTCTAATATTATGTATTTAAATTATAAAAAGCATTAGGCCCAGAGGGATTATCATGGCCCTGAGTTTATATATAAAAATGTCTAATAGTCTCTCTCCCATTCTTTTTACTGGACATATGCCTATTATTTATTCATGTGAAATAGTTTATATACTTCAGATACAAAATATAACGTACCTAATAGTATATGCTTAGTTTTAAAATCAGATGAACCTTTTGCTAAACTACAAAATAAATCACGGAGAATTTGTGTATTAAAGGTGTGGCTGTAAAAGCCTAATATAGTTAAATGGCTAAATGCTGATTCTCCATGGAATTACTTCTTGGTCATTTTAAAAAAACACATATCCACATACATGGAAGGCTTCTCCAGCCCTGGGAAATTTTAGCACAGAAGGAACTTATAGCCATTTGAGAAACACATCTAAGGTATTTTTAAAATGGGGCAAAGTCCCCTGGGATTTTCCATAGCCCTTCATTTGAACATCTACTTTTTATCTTGGAGCTTGTCTAGTGGTCTCAAAGGAGTTACACCAAATGTAAGCTGAGGG